ATATATTGGCTTAATTTTAAATTTGCCTTCACTGCATTTGTGGATATGTTGTGCCTCAAAGATTTGTTTCCTTTTGTCTGGTAATTTAATGTTGCTTTTATGAAGGGAAACTCCGTTGTTTAGTGTTTGGGTTATACCTATATATCAAAGTCAACAAGCTATATCTTATGTTTCTATAAAAATACACCTATATTTTGTATATTGTGTATTTGTATAAAATTATACATGATGCCTGATTAACTGTAAAACCTGCGAAATTTAAGTCAGACACCAAACCGTAGGTATAAGTGTGTGTTTTTTGTTTGGTTTGGTCTGTTTTACGGCATATCAACCTCAACAGATTGTTTAATGCCGACAAAATTTTTATTGATGGTAATATTTTGTTTTGTCAAAAATCTATTTCTGGTAATAATTTCCTTCAAAAATGTATTCCTGGTAATAATTTTTTCAAAAATGTATTGCAAGTAATATTTATTTTTTTAAAAACATTGTTGGTAACAATTTTCAAAAATGTATTGCTGGTAATTGATTTTTTTCTTCAAAAATTTATTGCTATAAATAAATAATTTTTTTGCAAAGTATTTCTGGTATAAAAACCTTTTTTACACGTTCATACTGTTTTTAACACAGTTTCGGGGTTAACTATTTGCCCAAAGCTGGGATCCTAACAGGTGCTACCACCCCGGGTCAGGGTGGAGCTGGGAATCCCAGTAATTATGAAGTGGTTCCACCCTCCTCAAAACCTCCTGATCAGAGGCCTTGCTGCTGGACGTAGTTTATCGTCTTACCCAGGACGCGAATGTAGTTTATCTTCATACCCAGGACCTACGTATATATATATATATATATATATATATATATATTTGTTGTCTTTCTCTTTCTCTGTATCTGTGTATCTCTTTCTGTCTCTTTGCTTTTTTTTCTTTCGATTAATGTATATAATGTAATAGCCGTTTCCTTATAAGGAAACATTTGGCATTCATTGACAGTGAAGCCAGCACTGCTTTCGTTTGTTATTTGTGTATTTCTTCCCGCTTTTTCAGTAAACCGGGTTTCTCAAGTCCAGTAGATTTTAGCCTATCCTTCAGAACTATTTATTTGAAGAGGTAGGAAATATTAACGTCTTGCTTATGTCATTATTTTCCCTTCAAGTTGCATGTGCTCGTCATTTTAATTGTTGCTGCTGTTGGTAGTCCGCAAGTGATGCGGTTTCAAAAGCAGGCTCGTTATTTAAAGACAGGGTACTCAATTTGAATGTGGCGTTATTTCACGTAAAAAAAAACGCAGAGAAATGCTTAGGTGTCATAATAATCAGGCTCTGAACGAATATGAATTAAAGATTAAAAAAAAACGCTAGAAATGTTCGTGTGAAACTAATATAACGAGATATAAATTTTTGATGAGGGGTTACTTAAGGTCACAGAAAGCCAGTCAGCAAGGATTAATGATGCTATGAATTTATATGAATCTGAGATTTTATCAAAAAATGCAAGAAACTTGGCTATCAAACTCCTATCTTCTGTGGATCCATTTTTTTTTTTTAATAAGGTCTTTTCTCTTTTATTCTTTGCTATTTTTGCCGTAATTCACTGCGCAATGTGGGCTTATCGACTGGATTACAAGCTGAGGACGAAGTCACAGATATAGCGCGCTCAAGCAAAGATTAAACAGTGACATTGCGAAGAGTGAAAAGTTACTTTGTCTTCGGCAGATTCCAACAGCAGGCTGCATTCTGCCGTTCGCAGAAAATTCCGTCGACAGGGAATTCCTCAGGAAGAACCAGTTCTTTCTTATTTGACTTTTGTTTTCTTTTTTCTTTTTATACAACCGATTTCGATTATTTCTGTATTTTAATGTTTCGTCGCTTTTTCTTTCACGATCTCTTTCTTTTTGTATTGACCAATTTTCACGGAATAATGCTTGCTTTCTTTCTTTCTTTCTTTCTTTCTTTCTTTATTTATTTATTTCTTACTTTCTTTCTTTCTTTCTTTCTTTCTTTCTAAGGCGTGTGTAAAAGATTCCACCATTTTATTACGGAATTAGGTTTTCTTTTTTTTTTCTTTGTTTCTTTCGTTATTTTTGTCAGTATTCCTTTATAAGGTATGTGTAAAAGATTCCAGCAGTTTTTATTGAAGGATCCTGGCTTTCTTTCTTTCTTTCTTTCTTTCTTTCTTTCTTTCTTTCTAAGGCGTGTGTAAAAGATTCCACCATTTTATTACGGAATTAGGTTTTCTTTTTCTTTCTTTTTTTTTTTTTGTTTCTTTCGTTATTTTTTGTCAGTATTCCTTTATAAGGTATGTGTAAAAGATTCCAGCAGTTTTATTGAAGGATCCTGGCTTTTTTCTTTCTTTTTTCTTTTTCTTTCTTTTCTTTCTCAAGGCGTGTAAAAAGATTCCACCATTTTATTACGGAATTAGGTTTTCTTTTTCTTTTTTTTTTTTTTTTTTGTTTTTTTCGTTATTTTTGTCAGTATTCCTTTATAAGGTATGTGTAAAAGATTCCAGCAGTTTTTATTGAAGGATCCTGGCTTTCTTTCTTTCTTTCTTTCTTTCTTTCTTTCTTTCTTTCTTTTCTTTCTAAGGCGTGTGTAAAGATTCCACCATTTTATTACGGAATTAGGTTTTTTTTTCTTTTTTTTTTTTTTGTTTCTTTCGTTATTTTTGTCAGTATTCCTTTTATAAGGTATGTGTAAAAGATTCCAGCAGTTTTTATTGAAGGATCCTGGCTTTCTTTCTTTCTTTCTTTCTTTTTGTATTCTTTTATAAGGTGTGTGTAAAATATACCAGCCCTTTTTTTACAAGATAATGTTTTCTTCGTTTCGTTTCTTTCTTTTTTCTTTTTTTATTTTTGCCAGTATTTCTTTCTAATCTACTGTATTTCAAGATATCTGGGGGTGATTTTCGAAAATATATCTGTTAAAATGAGATTATTTTCACTTTTGCTTTATTCAGACAACAATTTATCCATCGCACCCTGTGTATGCCTGTTTCAGTTCGATATCTATCTATCTATCTATCTATCTATCTATCTCCGTGTAAACATATCTGTCTACCCATCTAAGACGCTAAGTGTTACTGAGTGTTAGAGAATATGAGAAAACAACGATAAAAGAACATGAATTATGATGACTGAGGATAACGATTAGCATTTCATTTATACTTTTGAAGATCAAACTTGAATGGGAAGATAAAAGCTGGATGAAAATTCCACAAGGTAGAAATCCGATAGAAGAAACTGTTAGCATAGAACTTGCGGTTGCATCTCCGCATTTCCACTGTAAATTGAACTGCATAGGCTTTCAGCGGCGTGGAGGCCCTACGAACACACCAGGTCACAGGACTGATAATAGTGATGATGTGGTGGACTCGCGCCAGTCAGAAGTCCTACTGATATCAACATAGACTTAAATAGAATGGACGCCATTATTTGTATTTTTTATCTTCAGGGGACCCTATCGGCCAACACTTTCTCAAAAGGTGAACGTTGGCGAACAAAAGAAAATAACCAAAGACACATTAGTAAACAGCGAAAGAGGCGGCAAAATTGGAACACGATTAAAATAGATTTTAATTTTGAATAAATTAACGACTAAAAACAAAATACGAAGTTCCAAAAAAAAGTATAAAATGGAATTTAGTAACGTGTCCTTGATTGTTTCCTGCTGCTCGCCAAGGTTAACCTTTTGAGAAAGTGTTGGCCAAAAGGGTCCCCTCAAGTTAAAATAACGACATCCATTCTATTTATATGTTTATTTAAATCAATTGGACGTCGTTTTTTTAACTTTCCACCAACGATTTCTCAAAAGGTTAACTTTGTTGAACATCAGAAGACAATCAAAGACACATTAGTAAATAGCAAATGAGGAGGAAAAATTGTAATACGATTAAATTAGATTTTAATTGTAAATAAATTAACTACTAAAATAAAATACAAAGTTCTAAAAAGTGTATAAAACGGAATAATCCGTCGACCAAACGTATAAAGTGTTCCTTTTGTTTACGTAAGATCGGTTCATGAAACTTAATACAAACAGCCTCAAGAACTCGAAGATGGTGATAGCAACATTGATATGGAATAAGTCATGTTTTCTAAAATAGATGCAGTCTAAGTGACCCATGTTTTCTCGAAACAAAAAAAAAATAGTTAATTTGTTTCATTCTTTCTTATTTTTTATTTCCGTTTGATTTTTTCTTTTTCTTTAAAAGAAGAAAAAAAGAAATTCAGAGTAAAACAGATAATTATTTTAAATAAAAAAAAAAAATAATATAATAAAATATAAAATATAATAAAATAAAAATAATACAATAATATAAAATTTAATAATAAAATAATTATCATATGTTATATTACATATATTATATTATTATATTATATGTATTATATATATTATATTATATAATAATATAAGAGATAATACAAATAAATATAAAACATAATAAAAATATAATTACATAAAATAATATAAAATAAAAAGATATAATAATATAATAAATAAAATGAAATAAAATAAATTAAAAGAAAATTTTTAAAAGAAAACTTATTTAAAGAAAAAATTCAAAGTAAAATAAAAGACGACTTTTGTCGCAGAAAAACAGAAGCAAAACACATTTGGACACTCATTTCAAGACAGGATAATATCGGATGAGATCTGTCATTTTGCAAAAAAAAAATCTTGTTTAGATCTGTCAGTACGCGAAGTGCGCATGCGCCATATTTTGGTTTAACGTTTTTGGATACAATTTTATTATGCTTTTATTTATTATGTTGATTTTTTTTTCCTGGAGGGGTGGAGGCGGGGCGATATGTCTTTTTTTTCTTTTCTCGGTTGTTTGTTGAATGGTTTAGTTTTCGATTTAATTTCTAATATTTTCAGTTGTTTTTGCATTTTTCTTTTCTTTTTTTCCATTATTTTTTTAAAATTCTTTTCTGCTTCGTAGGATTTCACCAGATCCACTGGAATTTCTTTCCGAATGGAGCAATCAATCATTCGATCTTTGGATTTATTGTCTCTGCTCCTTTGAACATTTCAAAGGGGTAAAAAAAAAGAGTACAGACAGAAGTGAACGATAGATAGATAGATAGAAATTGACAGACTGAGATAGATAGATAGATAGATAGATAGATAGATAGATAGAAATTGACAGAAATTGACAGACTGAGATAGATAGATAGATAGATAGATAGATAGATAGAAATGGACAGACTGAGATAGATAGATAGATAGATAGATAGATAGATAGTGACTCAAAAAAGATAGAAATGGACAGACTGAGATAGATAGATAGATAGATAGATAGATAGATAGATAGATAGATAGATAGTGACTCAAAAAAGATAGAAATGGACAGACTGAGATAGATAGATAGATAGATAGATAGATAGATAGATAGATAGATAGATAGATAGTGACTCAAAAAAGATAGAAATGGACAGACTGAGATAGATAGATAGATAGATAGATAGATAGATAGATAGATAGATAGATAGATAGTGACTAAAAAAAGATAGAAATGGACAGACTGAGATAGATAGATAGATAGTGACTCAAAAAAGATAGAAATGGACAGACTTAGATAGATAGATAGATAGATAGATAGATAGATAGATAGATAGATAGATTCAAAAAGATAGATAGATAGACAGACACTCAAAAATAGATATACAAAAATAGACTGTCTCAAAAAGTTAGATAGATATGGACAGACTTGGATAGATAGATCGATAGATAGACAGACTCAAAAAGATATATAGATTGATAGATAGATTCAGATAGCTAGACACACTGACTCAAATTGATATATAGCCTAATAAGGCCTCATGGTCATAAAGCGACCGGTCTAACTACTCGGCCCATATAAGCAAAACAAATAATGTAACGAGGATTTTTTTATCGCTGTTGCATGATGATAATTTCTCTTCTAATGTTATTCTCAACTTTTCCCGCATTTTGTTTTGCTTTTGTTCTTGAAATTTTCCTTTTCTGTTATTGCAATCGTCATAGCTGAATGCTGGCTTTCTTTCCATAAAACTGACAACCTTTTCAATAGTTTTTTTTTTTTTCAAATTTCAGTTCAGGTTTCATCACGATCATGCTTTTTATTTCCTTGTTGATTGTGACAGTGTGAACACTGGAGAATAATTACTTTCTTTGGAATGTTGACTTTTCTATGTTGAACTCAGCCATTAGTTACAATGACCTTTCACCAGCTTCTAGTCTGTTTAAAATTTCCACTTTTGCGATAACTCCAAAGTTGTTCTTTTCCTCTTATTCCCATCATCTTTTGCACCAATTCAAGCCATTGGGGTGAAATAAGCATACGCAATTATCCAAAGTAAATATCCTGAAAAACAGAAATGTAAAATCAGTTACATATCACCCAAATTGTTCAAATATACACATCAAAATCATGCCCGGATATGCGGGATTCCGGATATGTAGAATTCCGGATATGTAGAATTCCGGATATGAGGAATTCTACTTTATATACACATCGAAATCATAACCTAAATACAGAACTGTTGTAGAGTAGTTTTCACAGTAGAGGCTTGTATTTCACTAAGTCGGTCCTAAATTAGGTTCGACGTACAAAACGTTAGGAACTTGAAATAATAGTTAATGACGCAGCAATCTAGTTGTGATGATGATACTTTAATGTCCGACATCGACTGACTCACCAACTCACTCTGAGCCCCACTGGCGACTGCTACTACTACTACTTATCTGTGCGAGAGTCTATTTACAATAGAATAGGTACGTTCGGGTATAACAAGAACGCTCCGGCCTTCTTCAGGTGATTGGAATTTCGAACATTTCTTACGATTACTTAAACTATTTGGACTGTTATCCTCATCTTTATTGCCATATTCACAACGTTTCGGTCGTTGTACGCTCCGGCTTTCTTCAGGTGATTGAAATTTCTAACCTAACCTTAAATTTCGTCCACCGGGGTAGATTTTTCTAGTTCCACCTGCCATGTCACTTCCAGATGTTTCAGTTATCTTCCTTTAACTCAACTCTCCAAGTTTTTGGTTCACCACTGCTGTGGCCTGGTATTGAACTCAAATGTCTTTGGGTATAGTCAGTAGATCTACTCAACGTCTTTATCCACTGGTCCGTGTGTCCTTGTGGAACTGGAAAAATCTACCCCGCTATTCGAAATAAAGGGTTCGATTCGAAATTCCAATCACCTGAAGAAGCCCGGAGCGTACAACGACTGAAACTTTGTGAATATGGCAATAAAGATGAAGATAACAGTCCGAATAATGTAAATAATGTAAGTAAGTTTGGGTAAATTTTCCAATAAAATGAGTTTTTTTTTGTTTCAGAAGTAGCAAGCCAACGGAGATTCTAAAAAATTATATATATATATATATATATCAACTCTGAAACGACACACTATTCAAATTTGATTAACCTCTCACAAAATCGAGTTTTTGAACCTGCACTTGCAGAAGGGTTTACAAATAATGAACTACAAGAGGTTCTAATGAATGGAACGTCTTTAGACTTGACGAATTTACCTGCACATTCACAAGAGCAGTTAAATTATCTATTGAAGCTTCACAAATTTTATATGAAGAAGAAGCAAGTCACCTGCGAATTATTACTAAATCATTGTGCCATCAAATAAAATCTTCATTTCCTTCAAAGGGAAATTATACGGAACAATTTATGATGTAATATGTTATACAGTGCATAGGTTTACAGCGATTCTCAATAAACAATGCAAATTTAAAACGTTTTGGTTTATAATTTATGCCCAGTACTATTATGGCATACACTTTTATCTATTTTTTTTATTAGTTCTAGCCTAATAAATTGTATAAGATTTTATTCATTGATTAGCCTTTTAATCTTTACAATTTTAAAACAGTTTTCACTTATCAAATGCAATAAAAATATTTTGTTTGTTTTAATACATAATTAGAATTCTGGTTCGAATATATTTTCAATTCAATGTACTTAAATAGAAAAAATATCAACTTTACTTGGATTTTTTCTTAAAATAGCAAAATCTTGAAGTCTGTTGAAATTGCATCACAAAAATATAATCAAATATGGGTAAATTTTCCAATATTTTTTTTTTAATTCAGAAATAGCGAGCTAACAAAGAAGAGATTAAAAAAAAAAAAACTTATATACATCAACTGTGAAACGACATACTATTCAAATTTGATTAACCTCTCACAAAATCGAGTTTGTGAACCTGCACTTGCAGAAGGGTTTATAAATAATGAACTACAAGAGGTTCTAATGAATGGAACGTCGTAAGAGTTGTCGAATTTACCTGCGCATTCGCAAGGTGTAGAAAGAGCAGTTAAATTATCTACTAAAACTTAACAAATTGTAAATGGACAAGAAGCAAGGCACAAGCCTTGTAAGTAAATCATTGTAACATCAATTAAGACCTTCATTTACCGTATTTGATGGCATATAAGACGCATGTGTGTATAAGACGCACCTCAATTATAGCAGGGAAAATCAAGAAAAAATTAGTAATTAGTAAAATTATTAGTAAACGGTACAGCCCAGGCTATATTTATGAGGTATTGTTTTGATTAAAGAAGCCATGATTACAATTAAACGAAAAATAATAGGAAAAAGGAACACGAGCCTATAAAAACTTTATTATATCCAAATGGTAAAAAAAAACAAAAATACAAATAAAAATCAAGCAATTATTACAATTGAGCAAAACAGTAAAGTTACCATTAAAATTCAGTCAAAATTTTTCCTTTAAATGATCTGTACAACGTGCGTCTTGTAAATGTCTTATTGGAATGAATAGGATATAAAAATTCTGATTGTATTTATGCCAATGAAACCGGAAGTTATTGCAAGAAAAAAAAATTAATGAAACAAATATATTTTACAAATATATAATTTGAATTTATTTCATATAATTTTAGTGAAACAGAGTAATATTATTAAACGTGATGAAATTAATATTAATATAATGAATATTATCAATGATAACAATTTTAATCTGTATAATAGCCTTTGAAATAATGACAATAGGTATATGAAAGTTACTCTGAAGTCGAAGCTAATAGGAGTTGCCAGGTATCTATATATATGATATAATATATATATATATATACAGTGCAGTAGTTTTAGTGCGATTTTCAATAAGCAATGCAACTTGTGTATATATGTATATATGTATATATGTATATATATGTATATATGTATATATGTATATATGATGTAATATGTATATATATATGATGTAATCAGTATATATACAGTGCAATAGTTTGAGTGCAATTTTCAGTAAACAATGCAACTTGTGTATATATATATATGATGTAATATATATATATAATATAATATCTGTAATCTGTATATATCTGTATGTATGTAATCTGTATATATACAGTGCAGTAGTCTTAGTGCGATTTTCAATAAACAATGCAACATATATATATATATATATATATATATATATATATATAAAAGAAATATAGTATGTATATATATATATATATATAAAGAAATATAGTATGTATATATATATATATATATATATATATATATAAAAGAAATATAGTATGTATGTAATCTGTATATATACAGTGCAGTAGTCTTAGTGCGATTTTCAATAAACAATGCAATATATATATATATATATATATATATATATATATAAAAGAAATATAGTCTTAAGGTGTGCTATATTTATGGAATAAAGTGCTCAATATCAGAGATATAGCGTGTGTAAAATAAAAGTGAACATAGAAGTCAACACTTAGAGGCCTCTAAGTGTTGACTTATGTTCTCTTTTATATATATATATATATATATATATGATGTAATATATATATATATAAATATGATGTAATATATATATATATATATATATATATATATGATGCAATCTGTATATATATACAGTGCAATAGTCTTAGTGCGATTTTCAATAAACAATGCAAATTTAAAACGTTTTGTCTTATAATTTGTATCCTGCAGTATTTACATATTTTGTTTTATATATTTTTGTTTTATAATATAACAAATGCTGTAAGATTCATTGATTAACATTATTTCTTTTGTACTCTTTTACAATTTTTATAGTTTTCACTTATCGAAGAAAGTAAACAAAAATTGCCTATTTTGCTTGTGGTGATCCATATTTAGAATTCTGGCTTGAATATTGTTTCTATTCAATGCATCTAATACAAAAATATCAACTTTATCTGGATTTATTCTTGAAATAATACAAAGTTTGAAGTCGCTTTGTAAGCAAAAACCTGCGAAAATTTACTATTTTTGTACATTTGTCTCAGACGATATTTAAAAGATAATCCTCAAGAATTAATAAAAGCTAATTTTAGGTTTTAGTAACCCTCATTTCAATTTTCAAACATTTCCTTGAATTTCATTGGTTGTTAAATAAAAAAATAAGCTTCGAGAAATTTACATAACAAAACAGTCAAAATTTCTGCAAAAATAGGCTCTACTGACAAAAAAAAATTCTTAAATCCATCCCTAATTTAAATGTTTCAAGAAATCCTATTGGCTAAAAAAAAAAAAAAATACAGCATTCGCCCACGCATTTCTCAGAAAAATTCGACAACAAGCTACCAAGCTACTGGAGCCGATTTTGTTGTTAAAAATCTATAAATAGAAATAGCAAACGAATTTTCGTCGTATTTGAGACTCACACACGCGAAAGATACACACATGAATTATGTGCCGCCAAGAAATAAACTTTCTTTGTGAGAGATCAGAAAATTTCATACAACATCACTTAATATATTTCAAAGAAAAATCTTTTGTCTAAGTTAAATTCAACCTTTCAACCAAAGGCAGACAACTTTTTAGACATTGAACATTTCTGAAACAGCAAAGAACTTTTTCTCTACACCTTTGCACACATCATTACAGATAAAGAAATTGTTAATAGTGTATATAAAATCTAATTTTTTATTTCAAACATGTATTTTTGTCGTGATTGAATATCGTTACCATTTGGCCATTTCTTATAATTTATGTTTGTGGATATCGCATATTTTATTTTCAGCACAATCTTAAATATTCACGCAGCCTTTCCTAGATCCACTACAAGGTCATTGCAAAATATCCTGTCTGTTTTTCAATGTTAATATAAAATGACTGCAACTTGACACTTGGTGTTGATTTATAATTCAGTTTCTCAGCATTTCCTTCGTTCGGGTGTAGGTTTATATTTGAGTTCCAAATCATTTGCAGTAGAATCCCCGACACCTGGACTAAGAAGACTTTCCGGATACGAGGAATTGCTTACAAATTCCGGATATAAGGGGTTACATTTAGATTAAGAAATCGGGTTTAACATTTATTTTCAATGTTTTATAGTAAATAAAATAAGCTAATAGTGAGTGAAATATAACGGAATTGATTTTAAGGAAAAAAATGTAATGTTGATAAAAAAACAAATACTTGAAAAATCACACCAAATTTTAAAAAGTCAACAAAAATCCATTTAATCAAGTGAAATTGAAAATCAACAAACTGATCACAGCCAACAACGCAGAGTAAGAAAACTTAAAACTTCACAAAATAATTGGTGACTACAAACCAGGATAAATCTATGGAACCATAAAAATGCCTAAACATAACTTCCTTCTTCGTCCTTTCATATGCCAATTCTGAACTCCGGTTTATCAGTTAAACAAAATAATTAACCAATTGATTACACCATACAGACCTAATAAATACATTATTAAATCAACTCACGAACTAATCCAAATCTTAAAAACACAAAAACCTAATAATGCAACCACAGCCTTATTAGAGTTTAAAGTTTATTTACTAATGTCCCAGTTAGAGAAACGATTGATACAATTATAAAGAATATTTACAACAATCCATCTCCCCCTCCACTAAAAATTACCCCTAATATATTAAGGAAACTAATTTTGACTTGCCCCACTGAAGTTCCCTTCTGTGACCATCTAAATAATATCAAAGTACAGCTTGATGGCATTTCCATGGGTTCGTTTTTAGGACCAATTTTTAGTAACTTCAACATGGCTAACCTTGAAAATAATAGCACTAAAAAAGAACAAGATATGCAGATGATATTCTCTTCTTAGTTAAAAACATAGATGAAATACACGAACTCAAAAAACCTTCGAAAAAACTACTTTCTTACATTCACATTTGAACTTAACAATAACAATGAAATTCCTTTTCTTGATATATTGATAGACACCAATAATAAAACATTTACAACCTCCCCATATAAAAAAACTAGCTACCATAAACACGTGCACTCTCAACTATAAAAGTGAATGTCCTATTACAAAACAGCTATTATACAAAACTTAATAAATCGAGCAAAAGTTAACTCTTCCACGAAAAAGATTTTTTACACTGAATTAAAAAAAAATTAAACAAACTCTCATTAATAATGACTTTTCTGATTACACTTTTGATGAACAAATTAGACGAACTATTAAGAAATATTAACAGAAATCAAAAAGAACACGGTACTTCCTCAAATAACCCTAAACATATCAACCTACTATACTGTAATCAAATACACTCTAACTACTAACTACAATATCCTAAAACAACTCTTAAGTAGTAATATATCTCCCACTGATCCCACTAAAAAAATTATATACTTTATTAAATGTAATGCAAACATCCACAACAAAGACCAACGTTATATATAAATTTAAATGTCCTTTGGGAGATTGTATCTCTAACTAAAAAGAAATATGTTGATTTCACGACAACATCAACATTATCAAGGAGACTTTCATTACATATGTCGGATTCAAGTTCTATTTCACACCATTTAAAGGAATATTTAGAGAAATAGTAATTGACAATCCAAGTGTCTTCCACCATGAAGATATAAAACAAAATTCTTGAAGTCCACTATGTAGAAAAATACAACCAACATTATATAAGATTAATTATGAATATAGGAATGTTTTAAAATGCATATAAAAGCAATATTTTGGGATACTGAAATTATTAAAAAAAATTTAAATTGCAGGTTGAGTTTTTTTTTAATATTAATAATAAAAAATATAAATTAAGTTACCTCACTTAGATGCCTGTTATTGTTAACTGTTAACTTTTAAATTGACTGTAACGGGGCGCGTTCATACGTGTTTATTAATACAACAGCGTGTTTCATCCGCATTGTCAAAATAATTCACAACTATCAATTACATTAATCTTTTTGTCTAAGCAATTCGCCTCTGAAGATGACCTTTGATGAGATGGAAAGTACTTGGGAAAATAAAAGAAATGAAAATAACTACAGTTTCTTCCTTAATGGGTTTAATAGCATCATTAAGAAATTGATTCGTAAATTTGAGAGAACTAAAAAAAAACTGATATAATATGTCTCGATTATTCAACAAAGCATTCTTGAATGAAGATAGACTTCCTAAATACACACACACACACATACACATACACACACACACACACACACACACACACATATATATATATATATATGCATTTATGTCTGGGTTTGAGTGTGCGTTGAGGGAATAAATATTTAAAATGTCATTTAAAATTTATCGGCTGCATCTAGCGACTGCCCATTTAAATGTGCCATGGCTGTTAACAATCATATCTCTTATACGGACTTGTCTAATCGAGCGGCTGCAGCTATATTCAAAGTTTTCAGTTACCAGACGATGGTCCGCCCGACCTCCTTGGTATTTAAGACGAGGTTTTATCGATTTCTTTTTTTACCATTATTATTATTATTATTTTTCTGATCTGCTTATCGATTACTAAATGTCTCTTCGCACCCCGCCAACTCCCCCCCCACCCGATTTTTTGTCGAGTGGACACGTACCCTTGCGCGAGAATAATAATCAAATTTGGACATATTCGCGGTCCGAACTGGTGCGTCGCGCTGAAAGAAGTTTGCAT